CCCATCTACCTATGCCCACACCCTATTCCAGGTGCCCGCCATCAGGCATGCATTCAGGACCGCAAGGATCCATCATCTATCCTGATGGCAGGAGGGCAGAAAAGCCTGACAATTTTTCCTTACCCTACAGCAGGGATGATCTGAGATTGGGAAGGAGGATGGGACAGAGTTTGATAAAAGAGTTTTTAAGTCAGAGTAGTTTGGATATTATCATTTGATGGAAAAGTTACAGATGCTTATGAAGGATGTTACTTCTTACAAAGGAAGACCTGATGCAGGTCTTTGCCTAATACTTTCTATTCTTGGAACATTTGTCCCCTCTCTACTTCATTCTGTTCCCCAACCACCATCTTTTTAAATTGTTGTTGTTTATTGTAGATGAATTATTTAGGGTTAAGGGATTAGTTAGGATACATTTAGCATTGGGATAGGAAAAAAAAAGCATTCCAAGTTTTAAATGCCAGTAGGAGTTTAATTTGAGGAATGTGGAAATATTAAGGATGCTGGCACAGAAATTAAAATGCTTAATGAGCCAATGCATGGCGGTTGACCATAACAAAATAAAATTGAGATGTGACTTCATGACAACATGAAAAATTGTCTGAAGTACTATCAGTATACTCTGATATCTGTTATTATGGACTGCAGTATAGCAAAAAAAATGGAATAAATGAAAATATAGAACATACTCTTCTGTTACTTTTCTGTATGTTGGTCTGCAAAGTGAAAACTCTTTAAGACTTTGTGAGAAAGTCCTTTACCTAATTATTCAAACAACTATTTTCTATCTGCACTTTTATTTTATATACCCTTTACACCTGTTTAATTAATCCTAAACATGATGCTGACTGCTAATTAAACAGCCCCGAAAGTGACTGACTGAAGGTAGTAATTTGAGATAATTAGTTTTGGTTTCAAACACTCAATTTTCACACTTTGTGCTCATTTTTAGAAAGGGGTGGCTCATTATTGTGGGCAGGGTGGGACTGTGTAAGGCATTTTACTGCTGGACTTTAAGTAGGTAAGGAAGTGGGAGGATTATTATATATCCAGATAGGACAAGGAAATGGTATAATGCTATAGAATTTGCTATAGAATGTTTTCCAACCTCTCCTACACACACACACGCACACATACTCACTAAGGCACATAGTTCCTTCCAAAGCAAAGGTCAGGATGTTGAACATAAAAATGCACATGCCTTGCTCTCAGTAGATCTCCGTGAGTTATCCCCAGATCCTCTAGAAGTAAGCAAGAAAGGGTGAAAAAGACCCAGGTTGGGGTGTGGCTTGAGATTTGGAGAGGTAGCCTTGCTGAGTAGTCATGCACTATGGTGGCACAAAACCTAATCTGCCAAGATTGGGCCAGAGTATCTGGCAGAGGAAGTGAAGGCACAGGAAGGAAACAGTTCACGCTGGTTTTCATGGTTTCACATGTTAAAAAAGGTAACAGAGTCCTACAGGAACAGCTAGAATTTGAGGTTAAATTTTTGTAGTCAGTTTAGATAAAATACAGGTACATAGCCCATAAAGTTCCTGCAGCACCATGAACAGCTCCAAATGCTTTGCTCTTCTGTTAGCTGGTTAACTGGGGGCTTTTTTTTTTTTTTTTTTTTTTTTTTAAATAGCTTGGAGAGTTCAGTGTCCATTTACTGGTCACCAATATGGAGTAAGATTATTTGGATCCCAGAAAAGTTATCCAGGTGTTGAGGGATTTCCCATGATGTCAAGAGAAGAGTCAAAAACTCCGTGTGGAATGAGAATCACTTGGCCAGGGGCTGCTGGGTGAGGGATAAACCACTGTGGGCAGTCCTTTGTGGGAAGATAGAACTGCATTTTCTTTGGAATCAGAGCACTGACATTAGCCACAGGATTTTATGGAGCGAAAAGTCAATTTTATGTACATGTCAAAACTGCATTTTCAACAAAGCAACCTAAGTTAGGGCAACTTGGATTCATTTAAAAATATATTAATACTGGGCCTCCCTGGTGGCACAGGATTTAAGTCTCAGTGCTATCACGATATTGCCATGGTGGCCTGAGTTTGAACCCTGACCAGGGAGCTAACCCACATGGCACAGCAGACCTCTTCTGCCTTGCCTGCTGCTCCCTCAGCAGTGTATTTCAGTAGATCTGCCTGTACTGCTCCCCAGTCTGGTGAATTGTCTCACCCCCACACCTCTGGCCTACACCCCAGTACTTGTATGTATAAATAAATTAAAAAAATATTAATACTTATGTTTTATTTAACTTTTGAATATAATTGATTCATTGGTCCCAATCGATGTGTCACTTATTATTTGTTGTTGTTTGATTGAGGTAGTATTTGTTTTCATTGTTGTTTGTGTTTAGAAGCATAGGATCTCCCCCTTCAGGTGTTATTACCACGCCACACCCACCACCAAAACACCCAGCATGCACCACCACCATAGTCCATTGTGCCCCCTCCCCACTTTGTCATTTCCCTCAGCCCTCCCCTCCCCACTCTGGTAGCCTCAGTTCTATAATCAGCTTTCTAGAGTTAGTTCTTAGCTTGGTTTTATCTGACCTTTTGCTTGGTTTCTCTATATTCCACATATAAGTGACCGCATCCAGTATTTGTCTTTCTTTTTCTCATTTATTTCACTTAGCAAAACTTCCTCTAGCCTGGAGTCATTTTTTTTAAAAGATTTATTTATTTATTTATACAAGCACGGGGGTACAGTCAGAAGCATGGGGGGGGGGTGAGAGAATTCACCAGAACCAGAGCGGGGAACAGAACAGGCAGACCGACCAAGTACACTGCTGAGGGGAGCAGCGGGCGGCAGGAGAGGTCTGTGCGCCATGTGGGACCCTTGCCTGGCTGCCAGGGAATGAACCGGTGCTGCAGAGGCTGTGGGCAGCTTCACAGCCCAGTGCTCAACCGCTGCGCCACCGGGAGGCCCTTGAGTCATTTCTGACCTCTGAACTTTGTGTCAGGTTTGGGCAGGGCATCCAAGAGTGGTGGTGAAATGAGGAGCTGCCTAGATCCCCTTCCCAGATTGTCCTTTTTTCACCATCTCTACAGGCTCATCACAAGCCTTCCAATAGCTTTGCCCCTCCTCCACTGGGCCCCCACCACCCCTCATCTCCAGTTCCAAAGACTCTTAAATTCCAGATTCCCAAATAGCATTGCCTGCGTTGTTGCTGTTTTTAATCCTCTCACAGGAAACTCAAACAAAGCAAATCAAAAATTTAAAGCATTATTTTTGCCTGCCAAATTGCTTTCTTTTCCTCCATGTGTTGGTAAATAGCAGACATGTACCTAGTTACCAAAGCTGTAGAACTGCGTCATTCCTCATATCTCCTTGTCGCCTGCAAATTTCCCCCTCCCTTAGAGACTCTTACTGCTTCCATTTTTTTGTTAGCCCACCATTGCCTGATTTTGGTTTCTTAGATTTCTTTAATAGATTTCTAACTGGTCTTCCTGCATCTAGTATGACTTCCCTTTAATTAATCGTAGCTTGAAGCATGTTGTGGGTCCCTCTGCATGAGATTCTTCTGGAGGGGATAGCAAGATGCAGATGACTAGACCTCTGGATATAGTGAGTCAGACTCTTCAGGAGGGTGTTACCTAGGTGCACCCTGAAATTCCAGGGCTGCTGTCCTCCTCATTGCTCCCAATGTGATCTTTCTCAAACAAAAATCTGATTATGTCACTCCCTTTGTTACAATCATTCTGTGCTTCCTCATGCCCTTCGTGATAAAATTCACACTCCTTGTCATACTTGACTAGCCCTTTATCATCCAGTTTCTGTCTAGCTCTGCGGTTTTATTTTCTGACATTCCCCCCTTGGTATTGTACATTCTTTCCATGTGAAATGCTGCAGTTCCTGTTATCTGCCCTTCCTTGACTCGGTACCTTTGGACGTGCAGTTCTCTGTGGCTAAGATGCCCTTTCCTGCCTGTTTGCCAGACTTTCCGTGTCTTCTGTGCCTGCATCTAGCCCACATGTCCTTCCCCTGCACTTCATTAGCATCCATTTGATCTTCCATCAGAGCACTTCTTCACTCGACCTCACTTGGACATATATGAGTGAAAATTACATTTCAAAAAAAATTTAGAGGGGAGATTTATGGCATGGATTTAATTTGCTACTCAGTTTAAATTTGTGTAGGGGAAACAACATAGGATTCTTGATTTTAAGAATTTTCTAACAATTCATTCTGTTTATATTAGAAAATAGTCCCTATAGAAATTATGGTATGGATTCCTGTTTTCTCATTTGGTGGGGATTGGAAAGATGTTTTCATCAGAAGATACATGGTTGGCTATTCCCAAATATTTTTGTGATACTCAATGATTATATCAACAAGCAGTGAATAGGCTTGGGAAACTATATTTAAAATAATATACCAGAAGTATAATTTCAAGACCGAAATGGTATCAAGTTAAAAAATATCTTTTAAATTCTCTGTTCTCATTGTGCAATCTTTATGTCCTAAAGCCAAAGACATTTTCAGAGGTGACCTTTTCTGATTTGTGTATGTACTATACCTTCATTTCTGTTTTATTTCTGCACTAGAACTTATCACAGATGGTATGAAAAAGCAGCAGCAATGAAAACCTCAAATGTTTTGCTTTGGTTTCAGAAACAATGGGAAAATTCAGTTCTTTCTTGCTCTTTAGAAATGCACTATGGATCATTGCAAAATACTTTCTACACTGGCCATCAATCCATATGTTGGTTTTGGGTTCCTGGTGCAGATTTCTCCTGCTATCAGAAAGTAGAGTATTCGTATTTGGTATGCTTTAATAGATTATTTTGGGGGTCTGGGCATGCCATTGCTGTTAATTTATATGGGAATGATTTTGAGCCCTTCCAGGTGCCTGAAATAACCTACCGAACAGTACCAAATAGGAACGCTCTACTTTTGGATAGAGGGGACAGCCTGTATAGCTTTGGCTACTTAGTCTCTTGTGACATTCCATCATTCTATACAATTCTTCATGAGTTGAAATGATCTGTCATTTGCTTTGCAGATACCTCAAATCAGCTATGCATCCACAGCCCCAGAGCTAAGTGATAACACCAGGTATGACTTCTTTTCTCGGGTGGTCCCACCTGATTCGTACCAAGCGCAAGCCATGGTGGACATCGTGACGGAGCTGGGGTGGAATTATGTGTCGACACTGGCTTCTGAGGGCAACTATGGAGAGAGTGGCGTTGAGGCCTTCACTCAGATCTCGAGGGAGATTGGTAAGCATATCGTTACCAGGTGATTGTCTTTGGAGGTGACAGGCTGCAGAAGTCTGAGCATTTCTAAGCACTTCCAGATCTGTATGGAATAATTAGAACTCCTACAGAGGCATGACCCAGGCTGTCCACTCCAGGGGGAATCTGGATTTATTATAAATGGTTGTGTTGTTCATGGTCTATCAAGGTGACACTTTGCTACTAATTTAGGAAATAGAACTCCTGACTCAGATGAACATTTTTTTAAAGTTGTCTGTTTTGACAAGGGAGTTTGCTGGCACATTAGAGCCATTGTAAATTTGAATAAATGACATACTATTTGATTGTTCTAGATGGAAGTTTACATTAGCAAGTCATTAGATAAGAAAAAAAAAAGCAGTGGAATTTAACATCAATGCCAGAGGGATTAAGACTTTATCATTTTAAAACAATAGTGAAGTAGCCACCAAGGCTATACTAAGAGGTATTTTTATTGTCACATTTGACTTTTTGCATTTTTATTTTTACCTTAAACTCTGAAACTAACAGTGGGATGAAGGACAGGTTGTAAAAGCATGGTTAGTACAGGATGCTGATGCATTCCTTGCCCCACCCCCCATGCTATTTTCAAGGTGCTTGTCCAGATCCCCATAGGCCTTTTAACACAAATATTTGCGCTTTGAGGTGGTGTAAGGGCCAGGAATGGCCACAGTGCAGGTTTTCTATGATCCAGCAGACCGGGTAAAGGAGGAGTCAGAGTCCTCAGTGGCTTTTTGCAGGCTTTTATTGGGGTTTACCAGGCATATGGCAGGCACGGGTACTGGGGGGCTGGGAGGCTGGTAGCCTCCCAGACCCCAGCAAATTCCCACTCTATCTAGGCTCTCTGGCGTTCTCTCTGCTTCTCTGCTCTTCTGTTCGTTCTGCTGCTTCTTGGCTTCTTTTTGGCGTCCCCGTGACGCCGCCCTTAAAAAGCCCAGTCTTAGCGCAGGTGAATCCCATCTACCTATGCCCACACCCTACTCCAGGTGCCCGCCATCAGGCATGCATTCAGGACCGTAAGGATCCATCATCTATCCTGATGGCGGGAGGGCAGAAAAGCCTGATACTTTTACCTTACCCTACAGGTGGTAAATCCATTCTACTACCTGGAAACAAAATAAAATAAACAAGTACTTAAAGCACAAATCTTACTGCTGATTAGTTAACCATAAAACTTTGTGGATGAAGGGGGACATATTACTATTATTTAGCAAATACTGTAATTCTTTTAAAGAATTACCAAGAATATTTTTCTTTAAGAGTAATAACAATATTTTGTGAAAAAAGAGTGCCCACTGTTTGATTTGAGTAATCTTAACCTTGAAATAAGAAGCTATGTTGATAATTTTCTTTCTCGGAAGCTTTAACTCAGGGCAAGATCATAGGAGTGATTTGGGCTTATTCATAATTAGAAAGTTATTGAAATAAGATTTTCTGTTCTTCTGCCCATAATAAGGCATAGAAATTTATTATACATAACATTTAGTATGTTTAACATTGGTTCAGGTTTTGTGCTGTTGCAGAAAATGTAGGAAAGGCCTTATCTTGTTGAATAGATTGGGTTAATTGATTTAATTGGACAACCATTCACACTTGTTCTAAATGTCCATGATGACATAATCTTTGCTCTTTGGAATTTTAAATTACATCACTATTGCTCTACAAATGATTTAAAACACTCAAAGGAACTTTAAATGATGACAAAATTATATTATCTTCTTGAATAAGAATCCCAAGTTTATCTTTAGAGGAAATGCCCATGCAGATGAAAACAATAGCTCTGGAAACCAGGTTAATGCATTATTTAAACAGCTGATTTCAGTTCTCACCAGAGTGATAATTCAACAAGAGAAGGAAACTAATAGAGTGGGTATTGAAATAAGTCTTTTGTAGTGATCCCGTCCATTCTTCAACTACTGGACACATTTTCATGTGCTTGAAACAGATTACTGGGAAAAATTCAATACAGGACATAATTTTCCAATTGTTGCAGAATCTGATAAGATATATTCGCTAAAAGTTAAGTGAGATCACAGCTTTATTCTTTTGAGTAAAATGAGAAATACTTTTCACTTTTTAGGGAATATTGCTTTATTTTGATAATGCTGTCATATAAAATGATTCAGATGGTACTTTTATTATTGTTGTTTCTAGCTTAACTCATTAGTATGGGAGAAAATAATTTTAGTGCCTTGTGTACGCTCCTGATTAGAGCAACACATTTCTGCTATGTCAGTTCATTCAGGATTCTGTGACTTGATTGGCTGTCCACTCCATTTCAGTTCTTACTTATCTGGGGGACTGGAGGAGGGATGGATTGCCACTTAATATGCAGAATACTGAAAAGGCCAAATTAGTACCACACTAGAGTATGCCATGGAATATATTAAATATCAAAATCATCCCTCATTTTAATGACAAAGATTTTATCTAGAGCAAAAATAGCTGAAAATTAAACCTTTTACATGACAATGATATTAATGGGAATGTCAAATGGTAGCAACTTAACCCATTCTGAAGTGATCTGATGATTCTAATGAAAATTCATTAGTTCTGTAACATTTGTTCCTCTTACTACAACACCGATGACATCTCTGTCATCAAGTTAGTAATGTGTGTTTAAAATCTTAGTATCTTGACTGAGAAGGAAATCATCAATTCATTTTCTGGAGTATCTGCCTGTTAATAAATTTATACATTTTCCAACTGTTATAAATTTTGTCATACTCTGTTCTGAATTTCTCTCTCTTTAATAATGTGATTTGTTAAGAAATTTCAGTGTAAATTGAGGCTTCCTGCGTTTTAGCTTTGATTAATTCACACAGATCATTAGAGAATGATAGTAAAATGAAAATCTGTTTAGCAATAATTTACTCTATGGTCCAATTAGAGTATTTTTTATTTTAGTAAACTCTGATATTTGGGGAAGTATCCTTTGTGAATCTTGGAGAATGAGCTTTGTGAGTGAGTGGTAGTCATGAACACACATGAACACACATGAATACACACTCTTCCTAGTCTAGATACTTTTGACTGTTGGGGCAGGAGAAAGAGGGGCAGGAGTCTTATCAGATGTCTTATCAGATATGATAAGACAAACAGCCACAAGATATCCTAGCTGATATAGTCTCAGCCCAGGACAAACTTGACCATATATGAGATCAGCAAATAGCACAACTTGACTAGAGAGTATTTTGTATAGTGAGGCATGGGAGACAAAATTGGAAGCCTGACAAGGACACATAGTTAAATATTTCACCTCATAGTGTGATAATTTTATCCTTTATCTAGCAATGGAGGAACCTACTGTCATTGTGTTCCGTGCCCTTCCCCATTAGGACCCTTTTGAAATACAATATTTGCCTCCCTGAGATCTAAATCAAACTGTTGGGATCTGTGGCCCTAAAATAGTCCCTTAGTCTCCTTTGAAGGAGATTTCCATGATGGGAGATGGTAGGAGTTCCTGAGGGGAAATAAGCATGTAGTCAGCAGATTTTCATAAGAGATCTTTTGCCAGAGGGCACAGCTGGCTGTGCAGTGCAGAGAATGGTAGTGTCTGGAAAGGGGATGTGTTGGTTCCCTGTTGCTACAGTAGCAATATACCACACACTGTGTGGCTTAGAACAACAGAAAGGTTTTGCCTTATAGTTCTAGAGGCTAGAAATCTGAAATCCAAGTGTGGACAGGGTCATGCTGCTTCTGAAAACTGGAGGAGAAAGTCCTTGCTTGCCTATTGTAGCTTCTAATGTTTGCTAGTGATCCACAGTGCTCATCAACCTGCAGAGGCAACTCCAATCTCTGTTGTCACATTGCTGTCTTCTCCCTTCTCATGTCTGTCTCTGTGTCTTTTCTTCTTATGAAGCCAGTCATATGGGATATACAGCTCTCCAATCTGACCATATGTTAACTAATTACATCTCTGATAACCCTATTTCCACAGACGGTCACATTCTGAGATCCTGGGGTTAGTTAGCATTTCAACTTCTCTGGCTGGGATACACAATTAAGAACCATAACAGGGAAGAATAGTGAGAAAGGGTGTACTTAGGGAGATCAAGTCTAGTGACAGAGATGGGAGGTAGGCTGTGGATGCCAGAATAACACTAAAGAGGCGAGGGATAGTTGGCAGCTACACTGGGGTTAATGGGGAAGCCTGTGGCAGAACCAGTTCTGAAGTTCACTTTGGAGTGTCACAGAATTCTGTTCTCTCAGACGGGTGATCTAGTGGGTAATTGAGGGTTCCATTTGGGGTAGGTGGTGAGATCCTAGTGTCTGACTCTCCCAGATTTCTGGGTAGTCAAGACCTTGCCAGTGGCCACTGTGTATACAATACACAGTGTGTATACAATACTGGCTGTTCAGCTGCCTTAATTTGTTGCTCTTTTCAATGACACCTGGGAAGTGATGGACATCTCAGATTGTTTTGGACCTAATTTACTTTCCCTTTCAGTTTGAGGGAGGGAATAGTTTAGTTGCTGCTAAGACTTATTTTTCACCCACGTTGCACACACTCAGTTGTTAGGACCATAGCCCTCAATTTCTGTCTTGTTTTAATTACTTCATGGGCTATTTTCATTGTTATCATAATAACAAGGTTAATAATATGTGTTCAGGCTTTTTCATTATAAGCTCAATAGCTTTTGATGTAGCTTGTGAGTCAGTAAGTAAGTGACTTCCTTGAGTCTTTAGATGGGTTCTTTCACTCTCTTTCTCTCCTTATTATATTATTTTAAAAAGAAGACAGGATAATAAATGTTAATGCTGCCACTATCATTATAAGGGGCATGGAAGCTAAAGCTTTATCTTTGATGTTAAAGAAACTCATGAAAGCAGTGTGTCTTTTCACTGTGGACTTGCACAGTATGGCAACACACCGCCTCTAATCGGTCATCGTATTCATGAATGGCTTATTGATGATGACAGGCCTGTCAGTGGTCATCGCATATATTACGAGGGGCAGAATAGACCTGATTCTGTCAAATCTT